TTGCAACTTTATTCTAATAATTTTATGACTTTATTCTCATAATATTACGACTTTATTCTTGGAATTTTATGACTATTCTCGTTGCAATTTTATTCTCGTAATTTTATTACATTATTCTCATAAAATTACGTTTTTATTCTCGAAATAATTAAAAAAAAATCTCTAGCCTTGCCCTAATACTCCGTCCTACATTCACCCATATTTTAAATCAATATCAATATTGTCTTGTGAAATATTACAATATTGTTTTTTTTGTAATGACAGATATTGCCTGAGAAGACATTTTGATATTTCACAAAATCAATTGTTTTCTTTTACCCCAAATATCAAGGTGTTTAAAAAAGAAAAATATCCTTTTGATATATTGTCATATGCATTATTTCATAATGCATTTCAAATGAAACCGGTTCCTTAAAACGATTTAATTATATTATATTATATTTAATTTCACATACATTCACTTTCATCCATCAGCAGTTCAACACAGTCAAATTCAGCTGATCATAAAAATGCCAAAAGTTAATGCTTCAATCTGCATCTGAGGCATAAATGTTGCAAAAACAATGAATTATCTCAGGTACTTTCTATGTAACGGATAAGGAGAGTTAAAGGGCAGTAACGTCTCTTTTAGCTCTTTATCTGGTAAGAAAGAATAAAAGCTTAACACAGAAAAACTGAAGCAGGAGTACTTTCTATGGGGGAAAAAGAGGGGGACACATGTTCCAAAAAAAAAAAGAAAGATTGTTAAACGCTTTATCTATAAAATAAACAGACAGAAACAAAAGGAGGGACAGGGCTATGAGTACTTTCTGTCAAAATGAAAACCAAACACAAGACATAAAGGGGTAAACAAGTAGAGAAAACATATAAAGCTCGATAATCTCAAATTTTGATTAAGAATTTGAAAGTTTTGGCTCCTTTCCGTTATAAGTGTGAGTAGTTTTGGCGCTAAGGTTCAGGTAGAAACGCCATCATTTGTTTAGCTTCTCTCTGATGGATTTTTATCATGTCATAATGATAATGTGAAGGCATGGTGAAGTAATTTACAAGAACTGCTTGTCAAAAAGTAATTAAGAAATTGAAAGTAAGGCTGAGTCAGAATGAAGTCCTTTAGGGAGAACTGAAAGGGAAATGTAAGGAATAAAATAGAGTAGAACATGAAAAAAATGGCCTAGGCATGACGTGAATATGCAAAGGTAATTTTTTAAGATAAAACTGAATCCAGTGAAAGATTTTAAACATAAAACATGTAAGTATCATCAAACTGAAACAAAAGCTTAAGCACTTTCTGTTTAACCTGCCTGGCCTGTTGAACCTGTGAGAGGAAGAAAGATTTAACACTTTATTTCTTTTAGTTAACAACCTGAATGTGAGCTTAGTTTTTTTTTTACCAAAGTATTCACTCAACAGAACCCCAGCTAGACATGTTTTGATAATTTCATGATGCCTTAGGAGCTTCATGCTTTACACTGCAAAAAATTGAAATCTAAGTAAGTTTATTTTCGTTAATTACAGGGTTTCTTTCTTGAATTAAGCAGCTAAGTGATACACTTTGCCAATGGAATAAGGCAATTTACATGTAAAATAAGAAAAAACAATTGCGTTGTCTTATTCCAAGTACATATTATCTAATTATCTTATCGAAAGAGTAAAAATACTCATTCCATTGGCAAATCTTATTATTTACTTGCTTGAATTATGCTAAATACACTAATTTTAAGACATTTTTACTCCTTTCCAGATCGTTTTTGTTGTGTAGAACCAGAGCTTTTCTGTTTAAGATGTTTTGGTAACAAGATTCCTTCAGTTCAGATTCATTTTAACAATCCTTCTGTTTGTGGAAAACCTTTTCTTTGTTAGAGACCCTCCTGTTGTTCTTTGGGTTCTGATCCTTCAATCAAACAGAACATTGGTAAAAACTGTCTGGAAATAAAAGGTATGGTTCTTTTCAAATTGGGCTTTTCAGATCACATTTTGAACATGAACTCTGATTGTTTTTATTGGACAACGTTTTTAAGATGTAATTTTATTAAAAACTGGTTGGCGCTCATTTCAGCCTTCTGTACTCAGTGCTAATAAAGTTTTAGTCTTTTTGTATCAAGCACTGAATCTTTTATACCAACTATTATACCGATTACATTCTTTAGCAACTTAATTTTTTTCTACCATGAGAAACTTTCTAAGAAAAGGACTTTAAGTTACATTAATAAATAAAATCTGTTATTGTCCTGATTATGGGTAAAAGTGTGAGCTAGTTTACTCAACTCAACTTTATTTATAAAGCCCTTTGAAACAACCACAGCTGCCACAAAATGTTGTTCATATCAGGTAACGTCAAAGTTGTATAAAAATAATATGGAAGTTTAAATTAATAAAACAAATCTAATAAAATTAATTAATTAAACCAAATAAAATACAATAAAATGAACCAAATGCAAACACTGGAAAAAAATCAAAATCTAGATAAGTAATTTTTTCTTAAAATAAGTGCATTTGTTCTTGAATTGAGGAGGTAAAAATGACATTTAATGCCAATAAAACAAGATAATTTACATTTAAATTAAGAAAACACAATTGTGTGGTCTTATTTCAAGTGCATTGTATCTAATTATCTTATTTTAAGAGTAAACATATTCATTTCATTGGCAGATCATTTAATTTACCTACTCAAATTAAGGGTAAATACACTTAATTTAAGACATTTTTTACATATTTCTAGATCGTTTTTCCAGTGAAAACAGAGTCTTATCGTCTGTTAAAAGCCAAAGAATAAAAAAAGGTTTTAAGTCGTATTTTTAAAATAGACAGTGGAGAGGATCGTCTAATGAGGAGGAGGAGTTTATGGAAATATGCTGCTTCAGACTAGGATTAAAACATCAGCCGCTGAAAAAAAGACAACAACAAAAAGAAAAACTGATATAAATTTCTGAAATATATTATTTTTACACCATTTTCTTTATCCATAATTCTTCATAATACATAAACACATGGAGGAAAAGGCTGATATGCAATAATTAGGTAGGTTATAGAAATGCTTTTATGGCTGAAATGAAATGAAAGAAGCTCTTTGTGCAAATTGATAAAGCAATTTGAGTTTGTCCAGCACCCCAAACAACTTTTACACTGGAAAAAACGATCTAGAAATAAGTAAACATTTCTTAAATTAAGTATATTTACGCTTAATTTGAGCAGGTAAATAAGATTATTTGTCAATTGAATTAGTATTTTTACTCTTAAAATAAGATAATTAGATCATATATGCTTGAAATCAAACAATGCAGTTGTGTTTTCTTATTATAAATGTAAATTGTCTTGTTCTATTGGCAAAATGTCTCTTTTACGTCCTCAATTCAAGAAGAAATGCACTTATTTTTAGAAAAAAATTACTTCTTTAGATTTAGCTTTTTTCCAGTGTAACCTTCAGTAAAACATTTGGTGCATTTGGTGGATCACTTTCTG